TAGTTACGCTGAGCCAATGAGCATTGAATTTTTGAAGGAGGCGCGGCTCTTTGTGGAATCGAAGCTCGACCTTCGCCGTTGCCTCTGTATTCTGAGCCAATGAGCTCCCAGGATTACTGTTGTCCCGCCCTGCTGCCCCTCCAAACCAATGAGCATGCTTGCATTCGGAATGGGGCGGGCCCTTTCGAATAAAGGTTGGATCCGGGGGCCTGGCTTTGGAGTTTGGATGCTGTGGTGTGTGGATTGGCTCAGGGATAAGGAATAAAGAAAAAAGAAAGTAAGAAAGAAGTAAAGAAAGAATAGGATGGAAGATAGTAACCGGAAAGTAGGACCACGGTGACAACAGAGTCCTCAAGGGCTTTCACTCGGAAGTCAGGAAGAACGTCAACGGAAGTTGAGCACATTCTGTGTACGTCACTTCCGGTCATCTCGCAGATAGAGGCTGGGACACCGGACGTTTGATGACGTTCGCGATTTTAGTTAGACGGGGCCTCGGCTCTCGGTTGTGGCGCTATTGGCCCGTTCACTGCCAAAGGCCCGTATTCGGGAAAGCCTCGCACTTGCGTCTTAGTGTTCGAGCTCCTGAGGAAGGAGAGGGAGGAGGTTGGTCGCCCCTCCCCTCCCCTTCCTCAGCACCTCACGCCTGCGCAGTCTCGTGTCATCATTCAGCCTTAGCGTCAGTGTTTTCTTCTGGCAGATGGAGCTAACAGCCGTCTCTGTTCCGCTTTCAGAAATCCACGGAACATTTATTAAGCCCCTCGTTTGACCCGTGAGAGATAACGAGAGCTTGTACTTGGAGGACCCGGGCTTTAGAAATTTTACTAGCCAGGTGATCCCTGGACAAGTCACTTAGTCCCTGGTTACCTCACGCGATGGGGCAGTGGATAGAGTGCTAGGTATGGGTCAGGAAGACCTGAGTTCAGATTCGGCTTCAGATGCCAGCTCTGTGACTTTGGGCAAATCACTTAGCCTCTGCCTGCCTCAGTTTCTTCATCTGTAAAATAATAATAGCATCTAGATCACTTCTCATCTTCCTCTCCCCCCACCACCTTTGTGAAAAGAAACTGAGATGGTTTGTAAAGGTCTTTGCAAATCTTAAAGCACTGCATAAATGCCCTTGTACTTCCTATCCCACGGGGGTTGTGAGGAAGAGAACTTTAGGAACAAAAGTATTTTATGCTTGAGTAGTTGGTGTGTGCAAGGCTGGATGCTGGGATACAAAAATGAAAAATAACAAATTTTCCAGAAAATAAGAGAATCAAACATAGTGCAGTTCAGATATAGATGCGTCTAAAAGCTGCCACTAGATGGTGAATTCCAATAAAAGATTTCATACTTAAGCCGAAGGAAATGGCCAATGAGGGGATTTGTTTTGCTTGACTACATATTTATTAAAAGGGTTTTGTTTTTCTTTCGGTGGGGTGGGGGAAGAAGTGAGAGGAAAGGAAAATAAACTTTTGTTAATTGAAAACATGAAAACTCTAAATTCCTGTCAAGTATCCCAACTCTGGTTGCCTATCTTTGAACGTTTCACTGACTTCTAGTTTTCTAAATGACCAAGAAGGAACATTGCCTGATGCAGGCATATTTCTGAAGCTGAGTTCTCAGAAACAACAATAAACATTTATTGAGCCGATATTATGTACAAGACGCTGGGGATACTGGCAAAAATGGACATTCTTGGTCTACCCTTGACAACAAAGGAGAAGAAGTTGGGAAGAGGGGAGAGTTTGGGGGAAAGATGAACTAATTCTGTTTTGGACGTATCATGGGGAAATGGCTTCTAGGCCTGGGGGACAATCTGTAGAGATGAAAGAGGGCAAGGTGAGATTGGGGATCAGCTAACAGAACAACTTAACTGTCACTTAAATAGTGTACATAGCAGGGGTCATGAATAATAACTCTGGAAAAAAGGTCCGTACCCTGGAAGTCCTTCAATGCAAGGCCAAGGAATTTTTAAATATTTTACTATACTGGTAACTTAACAGTCTTTGACTAAGGCAGTGATACAGTTAGCTTTGTGTATTAGAAACAAGTACTTTGATAGCTTTGTGAAGGGTGAAGTGAAAAGGAAGAGACCAGAAGTAAATAATAATAATAATAACATCATTCATATAGTACTTTAAGATTTGCAGAGCAACCCTGGGGGAGAAGTATTATCAGCCCTATTTTTACAGATAAGGAAACTGAGGCTAATAGGTTAAATGAATTAAGTGCCTGAAGCAGGTTTTGAACACAGATCTTCTTGGCTTCAAGTCAACTCTATTACACTAAATTTATGACGGGATTCCAGAGGAGGTTATGAGGGCTAGAAATAGGGTAAGAGAAATGGGAAAGGGGGGAGGGAGGAGATGCACATGACAGTGTGTATAAGGTAACTGATTAGATGATGTGGGGGTGGCCAGTGGAGGGGGGATAAGTTTAGAAGAGAAAATGATTATTTTAGTTTTGTACGTGTCAAGTTTGAGGTGCCAGTGAGAAAGACACTCAAGTGGATTTCAGGAGAGAAAATAGGGATGTATGTATGTGTGTGTGTATATATGTATGTATATATATATATATATGTATATATGTGTGTATATATATGTGTGTGTGTATATATATACATACACACACATACCATACATATATGTATACACATATATATGTATGAGTGTATATATATATATACACATATATATGTATATGTTTGGGCATTCAAAGCATAAAGAGGAGAATAGCAAAACTCATGGGAGCTGATAAGGTAACCAAGACAGGGAATGGATGGAGGTGGAGGACAGCTTTGTCTGGGGGGGGGGGCACTCACACTTGCTCAGGACAAGTGAGAACATCTATTCAAAATGATGGAGTTTTCAGAGGACCGAGAGATCATAACAGAAACCAGTTCTAGAACAGGAAGCGATCTCAGGCCATCTCCTTCATTTAACAGATATGAAACAGGCTCAGGGAAGTGAAATGACTTGCCCAAGATCACATAGTAGCATGAGGTGGGATTTGAATAAAGTCTTCCAGCTCTGGAAAGTGTTCTTTCTACTGTACCATGATGTCATGAAGCCAAAGAGTGTGGGGTAGGGGTGGGACAATTGTCAGGTGATGCAAATAAGTCAAGGGATGTGAGACAGAAAAAAAGCCTTTAGATTTTATTTTTTAAAATTTTCCTAAATACTTCCCAATTACATTTTAATCTGGTTTGGGGCCTGGAGTGTTGTGCACAATTTTGGGCCACATGCTGTCCACAGGCCACGGTGGAACGCTTCTGTTCTGGAGAATTACCAGTGAAAGGGAAAAAGAGATGTAGGATGATACCTTGTTTTGTTTTTAGCAGGGGATTAGACTTGAGCACACTTGTGAACAAAGAGCAAGGAACCAGTGGAGGAAAGTTTCTTTAGTAAAAGAGAAAAATAGAGAATAATTGTTCAATCATTTCTGACTATTTGTGACCCCATTTGGGATTTTCATGGCAAAGATCCTGGAGTGGTTTGCCATTTCCTTCTCATTTTACGGATGAGGGAACTGAGGCAAATAGTGTTAAGTGACTTGCTCAGGGTCACACAGCTAAGTAAGTGTCTGACGCCAGATTTGAACTCAAGTCTTTCTGACTGCAGGCCCAACACTTGGTCCACTTTGCCACCTAGCTATCCCAAGGCTGAGGCTTAGGTGGGAACTACTGCTTGATGTAAGACAGGTAGTGCCTTGTTGAAATGGCTAATTGCAGTTCAACACAGTGAAAGGAGAGAAATCAAGCTAGAGCAGGGAATTTGACTAGTAGGTAAGGAAGGAATTGAGAAATTAGAGATTATAATGAAGGTAAAGGACAGGTTTAAGTGGAATGAGGTAGCAGAAGAGGTTGAAGGACAGGAAATTCTGATTAGACAGGCAAGGGACTGTATGTTCTGGTTGTTGGTAGGGAACAAGGAATATACCTGTAAAGTATGGGGTATCTTTTGTGAGTTTTTTTGGGGGGTGATCAGTTGTTAGGTTGAATCCTGATTTTAAGAATTGTGGAAATGATCCGCTTACCTGTTCTTTACTGTTAGTCCCTTGGTGGGGTTAGGTGCAGGTGGCTCTTAGCTAAGGTTTATGAGCTCAGTCCAGAGAACCCAGGTTGTCCAAACACAGGACCACGTAGTGTAGCACTGGGGAGATTTTTGTATGCTCACTGCTAGTTCTCCTATCCAGATGTACTATTTTTGAATTTATATATATTTTTTGGTTAATAAATTCTGTAAAATGCACTCATGGTTTGGAATGTTCAGGTGTGTGTTGAAGGGAAAGAGAAGACTGGCTTCTGGGAAAGGGAACCTGAAGGGTGTCTGTGACAGAAGCTGGGGAGAGGTAATCAGGGTCTACATGATGTAGATCTGGGATGTCAGGAAGACAAGCCTGCTGAGGTGCTGGGGAAAGTCCAGGAAGCTTGGTCCTTCAGGTTGGGGTTCACAGATCAAGGGAAGTTTTATAAAGAATGCAAGTTAAAGGGTGAAGTCGTGAGGTCTGCTGAGAATGAAAACTATGGGTCAGTGAATTCTTAAGCTGCAGCAAATCCCTCTTTCAGGTGTTGGTGAGATAAAGACAAACATGGAACATGGAAGCTTACAATCTATGGAGGAATACAATGCATACACAGATAAGTATATACAAAGCAGTTTGAAGTGGGCTAAGGTACTGGCAATAGGGTAGGGGCATAAGACTGGAAAGGTAGAGAAGTTCATATTTAATTCTAGGGATCGACTGAATGAATACTTAGGAGCAGGGGAATGACGTGATCAGACTTGTGCCTTAGGAAGCTTATTTTGGAAGGAGGATAGGGGACTATGAACCTTAGGCTTTAGGGTGGTGAATTGTTAAAAGTTCAGAGAAAGGCTCTCAAATGTTACAAGGGAAGTCTGCCCAAGGGAGACTTGGTTGGAAGACCCTTTCTTAAAAATAACATTCTAATGAAACACGTAGTTCTGATGAGTAAGAAAAGGGAGAGGTGTTTAAAAAGACTGAAGAGGGTGCACTAGAAATTTATTGATCAATTTAAATTTACAAATAAGGTGTATATAAAAGGAAAGCAAAGACCAACAACAGGTTGAAAACACACGAGTGACACCTTCCTGACAAAATGCTGAATCCAATAATTAGCTGGCAAGAGTAATCAAAAGGGGCTGTGTTGGAAACAAGAGACGACCAAGGAAAGGATAGGACCTCCATGTGCCTGGGTAGAATCAGAACTACTCAACTCTTCCAACTAGGAAACACAGAATAGAAATGATTAATGGGGATTGGAAACATCGAGACTTCAAGACCAGGGTACCTTATGCTATGCCACATGGCCTTTCCTACATGGTTGGCACTAAATTCATTTTTGCTGAGAAAATGAATTCATTTATAGAGCACCTTTTGGCTATAAGGTACGTGTCCTTGGCTTGAGACCCTCATCACTCTCGGGGAAAATTGCAGAGAGGATGGAGAAGTATGTGAGTGTTGGATGGTAATAGAAAAGACTCAGAAGCTGGTTTAGCATCCTTCATTAACTCAACAAATATTTGTTGAAAGCCTGCTATGTGTATATACATATATACATATATATATATGTATATATATGTCCATGGACCATCTTGTTCAGTGAATATTTGTCGAATGAATGAATGAATGAATGGAAAACAGTCCTTTAGGCTGCTGTTTACCACTTCTTGCCTTGCCCACCCCAGGCAGAAAATGAAGATGGTGGCAGCTGCTGACTCTTCAGGACTGTGTCCCTACCTGCTGGTTCATATTTGGGATGTTAGTCCCAGTAGAAGGAGGTACTGCTGCTATGGTTCCTGCTCCCCTGATGTAGTGATGGGTGGTAGACAGGCCCAAGCTAAGCATGAAGCAGGCAGATGGTCCCAAGGAAGCACCGAGCTCTCATCTCGGGCACCTGCAACAAAGGGCAGGCAGGTAGAATTGTAAAACATTCAGAATTGTACCAAGCTCCTGAGGCCACTCTCCCTCCCTCCTTTCTCAGCAGCCTGAAGCCTGGCTCTCTCAGGCTCCTTGCTTAAGTCAAGAGTCTTTGCTCCAAGGCTGAGATCAAAGCACCCATTCTATGAGGCTGGAACTGTCTCTTTATCTTGTGAGCTATTGGATTTCTGGCTCAGCCAAGTGCAGAGAGAGAGGGAAACTGGGAGGGAGGGAGGAAGCCAGAGGGAATTCAAGGGTCCCTATTTCTTCTGTTGCCTAGCCAGGACTTTCCCCAGCCTCTCCTGCTATTAGCCAATAACTTGGGAAATACTCTTTTCAAGGCCTTTTTTTTTTCTTGGGTAAAAGTTTCTTTTATAGTCGCCTCCATCCAACGGGACCATATTACAGATAGCCTGTCATGATAGGGCACAAATAAGCACAAATGAGGGGCTGGAAGTGGAAGAGGTGGGGCTAGGTGTGAAGGGACTGACCAGGGCTTTCCCTCATCCCAGTCAAGGAAGCTGTAGTGGAAAGAGCTCCAGTTTGGGAGTCTGCAGACTTCGGTTCTATGTCCAGTACTGTGACTAAACGGCTCTCTGACCTTGGTTAAGTCCCTTCTCCCCATGAGCCTGTTTTCTTTTTTGTAAAAAGAAAGGGTTGCACTTGGTGGTCGTTAAGGTCTCTTGAAATCCTAAATGCTGTAATGACCATGATTTGAATACTCAGAAATCAAGTTAGTCAAATCAAGAAATCAAGAAGTCAAAAGATAGCCTTGAAGGGAGAAAGAGATCTCAAAATACTTTGTGGGGAGGGCCTGAATTAGGGAGCAGTACTTTGGGATTAGAGGGATTGTTTGGGTTGATTGTATACATAAAAACCGTAGCTCTTTTATTTATTTACTTAATTTGTCTCACTTTATATTATTTGCTTATAAATTTACTTATTTATTACCGAGTCCCAATCCGCCTGGCATGGAACTGTCTCTTCGTTGGTGGAGATCAGTGGCCTGCCCCCACATGAGGGGCAGCAGAGAGGGAGGGAAGAATGGAGAGGCTAGCTTTCTTCTAACTCCCGTGTATTCAGTCTCTTCGGGCTTTGAGAGAGAAGATGGCAGACATCTCAAAGTCTTTTCTTTCAGCAACCTGAAGTGGGATTGAGGCATTGATCACCATTGATGAGGAAAAGTCACATACCAATGAACTCCGAGACTTGAGTTACATTCCAGCACCAGCAAGGGAGCTATCTCCCTATCCAATCAATTGCATCAGCATTTTGGATTTCTTTTAGGCATGGCGTGGGGAGGGGCATCATTGCTCTATTTCCACCTTTGACTGGGGTGAGGGTAGGATTGGAACAAAATTAAAAAGGGCAAAGATAGGAAGACTGAGTGGGTGTCATTGGATGTCTCTGTGAAGGGCTGGGTACATCTTGGAAGTGGAGGCAGGTTCTGGAGGCAAAATGCTATAGCAGAAAAAGCCCTGGGCTTGAAATCCAGGAGAGGGCTGGAGGCCAGTCCTGGCTTTGTCATTAGATAGCTGGGGTTAGGGGATAATTAAACAACAAAGAACAATGAAACAGGTTACATTTCTTGTGTGTTATAGTTTGCAAAGTGTTTTTTCCCCACGCAGTTTTATCTGCCACCTTCATGAAAAATGCAGATGGCGTTTAATGCCTCCCTGTAGATGGTTTCATCATTTACTGTGTCCAGAGTAAATGGACACATATTTCTGGTTATGAGCATGATTAGACTAAGCTCAGTTGACGCTCAGGTGATAAGCCATTTGGAGGCTGCGCTTGTAACCCTCCTAACTTTGTAGGAGCTTATGCTACCCTGGCAGTTTCCCGGGATTCAAGGTCCCCTCTATGTCATGATGAGATGATATCCCCATTTTGCAGATGAGAAAACTGAGACTCCAGTAAGGTCATGTGGTTCAAGTCACATAGCAAATAAGTGGTGGAGTTAGAAGTTAGATGTAGGCCTTTTGACCCTAGTGAGCAGTTTTGTTTTGTTTTTTTTGCTTTGTTTTTCTTATACCATATCATGCTTCAGGTTAACCTCTCTAAGCCTCAGATTCTCCATCTGTGAGGATGAGAAGGAAGGAATAATAATCTCTGTCCTATTTACCTCAAAGTGTGGTTGTATGGATTATGTAGGGTAAAAGACATGAAATTGCTTTATTGTAGATCACTATACACATGTGAGAGATAGATATGAGTTACCACTACTGTTACTATTATTTCCAGGGCAGGCTTAGGCTTACCTGTCACTGGGATGGGGAGCACTGGCCAGTAGCCCTCCACCTGCGGCATGTCTTCCACACTATGCAGCCAATCACAAGCAGTGTGGAGGAGGACAGCAACACTGGAATGATGATCACTGGGGCCTGCAGGCTGACCACATCTGGGGACCCAGGAGGAGGGGAGAGGCCCATTAAAGATAGACTGGATGGCTTCTCCAAGGAGAGACGAGCCTTCTTCTATCAGTCAGCAAAGACTTGGTGCCCATTTGCAGGGCATTCAGTCCTGGGTCTGACTCCACACCGGGGGACTCCAGGAAAGAGGAAACACAGAAGACACATAGTTCCCCTCCTCCTCCCCACATCCCCCCTAGGACTTAGTCTTCAGGTCTAGTCTTGTTAAAGAGATAGGATTCTCCAGTAAACAATACGAATGGTGAGATGGTATTATGTGTAATGTCACAGTGTGCTGATGTGGTAGAAAACCAAATCATGCCCCACACAGAATATGGAGTGTTCTAGTAAACAACAAAGCACTAGGGTGTGGGGCTTTTGTATTCGCTTCCTGGGGAGTCTGAGTGCTGCCCTGGCTCCTCAACGAGTTGTCAGATACAAGGTGGGGATGAGGCATCTCCAAAACCTGTGAATGATCATTAGCCTAATAAAGGAAGCAGAGAAAGGCTTCTGTCGTGTCAGGTAGGAGTCTAGAACTTAGACCTTGATGGGGCTTTGCAGATCATCATACGAGGACACTCAGGCCTAAACAAGGGAATGGATGTGCCCAAGGTCACCTAGGTAGGAGCTCAGGCCCTTTACCTTTAAATGCGGTCTTCTTTCTTTCTCTTGTGGAGGTTTTATGGAAAGAAAGACAGGAATTGCCCCTGATGGTACATCATGGAATGACAATGGCTCGCACCAGTGGAAAAAGGAGCCGCACAGATGAGGTCACAGCGGCATCCAGACAGGAGGCGAGTGTTGATGTTAAGTGCCAAAGGAGTCAAAGGAGGAAAGGAGGGAGAGAGGGATCTGTCCAAACTGGGATTATTAGGGCAAACTTCACAGACCAGGGTGGACATGAGCCTGATCAGCCTTGACATTGACATAGGATTTGGATAAAGAAATAGGAGGGAAACACACAGGTGAAGGAACTTGGTGTGCATTGGAAGGAGTTCAACACGCCCCTTCGTTTGTTCAGCTGAAGAGCAGACAATGTCTTTGGAAAGACAAAAACTACAGGGATAGGAGTGGCTGCTAGCTGGGTTCTGGTTTGTGTCCATAGCCCAGTGTAAGGTCAGTGCATTTTGCCATAGTGGCCAAGGCCAGCTGTGCCAGTGACTATCAGTGGTTCTTACTCGGGGTGCCAAGGCTCGCTCCATATACACAGTAGCTAATGATTACCTACAGAGGACTCCTCCAAAGTCAATACAGGTCTTGTTGCAGGGGAGGGAGGACACATGTGCCTGCTGAACCCTCAGCTTCCCTGGCCTGGGCTTGAATGGAGCAAATAGGGGCTCCCAGGAGCCCCTGTTTTGCTACTCACCCTGCCCAAGAGCTTGGCATCAGTTCAGGAAAAAGTAACCATGGCCTGCATGATCCCAAGGGGCCTTTTCTGGTTCCTCTGCTCCATGACTCTTGGGAATCTCTTCCTTTCTCCTTTTTCGAGAATTGGTGTGGTCCGGTAAAAAGAAGCCCAAGTAGGGAATCAGGAGACTAGAGTTCTAGTACCCACTTGGCTACTAACCTGCTCTGCAAATTTAAGTTTCCTAACATAGCTCAGCCTCACCCTTCTCTTCTATAAAATGCACATAATGCCTGTACTTCCTTTTGTGGAGATAAATTTAGATAATGTAGGTAAAAGTGCCTTAGGAAAAAAATGAACATTTATACAAATGTGAGCTATAATGATGATAACTTTCTTAGGGAAGAGAATTTTGGAGTCATCTGATGCCTGGGGGTGGGTGTTGAGAGGGAGAGAAAGCCTGGGTATCCCTCTTATAGAAAGCTTCAGAATCACTAAATGATATTATTTAATTCTTCTTGGTGATTAGAATACAACACTGGTGCTTGTTGATTGACTGATGGAGCTGAAAGGAAGGGGGCTTATGGAGGGAGGGAAAGGAGCCCTAGGGATGCTTTATAGAACACAGACTTGGTCAGGGTTATTAGACTTTTGCAGCTGCTGTACGCCAGCTCCTGGATCTCTTCTGGGGTGCTGGTGTGGGAGAACTCCTAGGAGCCAGAGAACTCACTTGACTTATTCCTGACCCCAAGTGGCTGACTGGGGTGACAGCAGAGGAGGGGAGGACCTCACCTCCTGTCAACTAGAGCTGGTGGTAGGCTGAGAGCATCTGGCAGTGTTGGCCGGAAATGGTCACTGGCCACCAGCTCCACAGGCATAGATTGAGGTAGGGTAGAAGACCCCCAGGAAGCCTTGGCAAGGGGGGGATCCCTACTTACTGCATCGATAGTCGGCGCTGGAAAAGTTGCATGGGTGATCAATGCTCATTAGTAGAGGTGCTCCTCAACAGAGTTGTCAGATACAAGGCGGGGATGAGGCCTCTCCAAAACCTGTGAATGATCCATTAGCCAGAGCCGTTAACCCAGGACTTTCCCAGCTCTGGCCTCACCTCATTCTATTCCATGAAGTACCCTTGGTATCAGAAGCTGGCCATCCTCTCACTTCTTCCTAGCCCCTACTAAGAATCTGGCTTCCAGAGTCTGATCTTCTCCTTCCTGCTGGGCCTGATTTCCCCAGTCTCACAATGGGGGGACCTTAGGGATCATCTGCTTCAACCTTCCACCACATTCAAGAATCCTCTTTACAGCATCTTGATGGTGGTTGTCCAGGCTCTGTTACAACACACCCAGTGATGGGGAACTCATTACCTTATATGGCAGCTCATTCCATTGTGGGACAGTCCTGTTGGAAAGTTGATCCTTCAACTAAAGGCTACCAATGAATTTGGTATTTTTAAGACAAACCAAAGTACATTTTGTCTTTGTCACTGTGTATACAGTGGTGTGTTAGGAGAGGGGGCTCCTGAGTTTCTGGAAATAGAAATAACTTCAAAAGAAGTTCATATAAATCCCTGGATGGTGGAGTATTATCCATGATAGAAACCATAGGATTGTCTATCTTCTCAAGAGTGACATCAGGGAGGGCAATGCTGGCTTCCCCAAACTTTTCCCTGAATCCAGGAGCTGTAGGGTTATTAGGGCTAACTCTAGGACACTGACGATCTTCTAGTGTTTTCCTTATCTATAAAATCAGGAAGCTTGATGAGATGGTCGTTAAAGTCTCCTCTAGCCCTGACAGTGTCTATTTGAAGGTCCTTTCCAGTTCTAACTTTCTATGTGATTTCCTTCATCCTTATACCTCCAAGGTAGAAGGTCAATGGGGGTTTTCATGTGTGTGTCTTAACTTCTTTACTAGACTTTGAACTCCTTAAAAGCAGAGACTGTCTTTGTTCTCTATTCCCAACCATACCAAGCATAGGGCCCTACCCAGAAAGTATGGTTTGGATTGCTGACGTCCTTTCCAGTTTTGATATTCTGTGACTTGGGTTCCCTTCAGTCTTTCCCTGACCAGCCTGTGTGAGGCCTCTAATCTAAGGTCAACAACTACTTCATTGGGTTAGGGCAATACAGGTCCACATTGCAATGGCTAGAGGGATGAACTGAAACTCTTCATAGGGCCTGGATTTCGGAGGGACCTTTGAGATGATCTGATCCAATCCTTTGTTTACAGTGAAGATGGAACTTTTCTAAAGTATCTGGGATTTGAACCCAGGTTCTCTCCATAGCTGTTTCCCTGACACCACTAATAAGATAAATTTAATAGGGATAAACGTGAAGCCCTGTGTTTTAGGTTCACAAAGCCCACTGTACAAGCAGAAGGTTGAGGAGACATGCCTGGGCAATAGTTCACACAAAAAGACCTAGGGGCTTCTACAGCCTGCAAGCTCACTGAGTCAATAGTGTTAACGTGGCAGCCAGAAACATTAATGCCAACAGTCTATGTTACCCAAAACAGTCTCCAATGCGGTGAAAAGCCGCACTGTCTTCTGTCCTAGGCAGGCCAACTTGAAAGTATTATGGCCAGTTCTGGCTGCTGCCTTCTAGGAAGGACGTTGATGACTGGAGGGCATCCAGGGGAAGGTGAACAGGATGTTTGGGGGACTCACACAATGAAAGGAACTGGGGCTGTTTGGCTTGGACTTAGGGGAACATGCTAGCTGACTTCAAATATTCAAAGGGCAACCATGTGGAACACGGATTAGGCTTGTTTGGTTTGGCCCCAAAAAGCAGAATTAGGAGCAGTGGGACTAAATTGCTTGAGAAGCAGATTTGGACTCAATGTAAGGGAAAAAAAACAATTTTGGCGGTCAGAAAGTGAAATGGGGACTTTGGGAGGCAATAAAGTCCCCCATCACTGGGCGTGTTAAAGGGAGGATTGCTGAATGTTGCTCTCGAGTCTAGTTGAGTCTAGTTGAGACACTGGATCACTCAGTTGTGACTGGGGGGTGGGGGCTGAGGTGAGATAGCTCTGGCTAGACCGAGAGGACAGGTCCAGGTGGGGCACTGTACTGGGGGCTCTGGGGAAACCCTAGGCACCTGAGCAGAAAAGGAAGAAGGAAATGGAAGGGGAAGTGGCCCTGAAGATTCCAGAGCCCCTTGGGTACAAATGTCTAGTGCCTCTCCCCATAACCCCTCTGCTTAAAGAGACAGCTGTTCTGCACTGCATCCCTGATTAGAGAGGGAGCTCCTTCGACCCTGTAAGGGGTAGGGTCTTGGGAGTCCCAGGCCTTTCTGAAAGTAGAGAAGGATCTATGCTACTGTCTCTTTCTCTGCAAAAAAACATTCCCAGAGCTTCCAGATCAGTCTTGAGATCCCAGGGCTTACCTACCACAGTGCTATGGGCACCAAAAGCCTCCAGGGTCCAAATGCACTACTTCCCCTCCATCACCCTAGCCATCCCTATTCCCAAGTCTTCCCAACACCCACCTGGGACTCCCTGAAGCTCCAGTGATAGGCCCAGGCCAGGCTAGGGGTGGGGGTGTAGTCCCCTTCTGTGGCTGCTGCCTCAGGTTACTCCTGCTTCTGTTCTGGCTCTGGGCTTGGTTACCAGTGTACCAGGTGAGGGCAGGTGCTGACTCTGTCCTTGGGGGGCGGGGCCTCTCTAAGAGTCAGGCCTGCCCCCTGGAGGAGAGGGCTTGGAAGGACCTGCAGTGAGGACCAGTCAGCCCTTAAAGCAACCCGATGCACCAGAGAAGGAAGGGATGGCTTGACCTGTATGGCAGGGTCCTTCTGTTGAGCCTGGACCATGAACCTCTTGCTTCTTCTCAGGGCTCTCACACATCAGGGATCTTTGAAGATTTTCCTGGAGTGTGAAAGCAGACTCGGGTGCCCCCAGCACTGGCTGTCAAATCAACTAAGGCTTTAGTTGAGATGGGGGGTGGGAGATGGGGATGCTGACAATTCCAACTAGGAATTAGAGCAAATGACTTAAAGTAATAAGAGGTAAAGAAAAGTAATAATATAAGATATTATATGGCCATCTCTGGTTACAAACAGCAATCCTGTGAGGTAGATAGTGTAGAGATTACAGCCCCATGTATAGTTAAGAAACAGAGATTCAGAAAGTCATGGAGCTGGATGGTCTCTGAACTGGATAGAACCAAAAAGAGGTCCTCTATTACACCCTATGCCTGGGCAGGAAATTTCCTCTATGATGTTGAAGGCAAGCAGTCATCTTGCCTATTCTTGGAAACCCCCAGATAAGGAGCTCGCTATTTCTTGTTAGCAATGTTAAGAAGTTTTTTCTCATATTGATCTGGACTATTTCTCCAACCTTCTGCCCATGGCATTTGGGGCCTAGCAGAACAAGCTTAATCCCTCTTTCACAAAACAGCCCACACTCCCAGCATTCATACTTCCAAAATATCTGCCTTGCTAAACATCTCGTTCCTTTGAATGATTCTCAGGTGGCCTGGTTTTGAGTGACCTTACCCTCTTCATTCTCCTGGAGATGTGGTCTACCTTGCCAATGTTCTTTCTAAAATGTGGTGACAATCTACATGTCTCACTCTGGATGTGGTCTGATTATAACAGAACACAATGACAGGCTATCTTATTTTTGATTAGAGTGAAGGGTGACTGATAGACAACCTGACTATGGTCCACTGACATTGATGAGATGTCAGAAGGCCTGAAGAAGATCCATGACCCTTGTGGAGAATTTAAGGGAGGAGAAGGAATGGAAGGGTTACCATCTGTACCCACAGGAGAAAGGGCTTGCATTAATGAGATCACAAAACTATTGCAATATGGAAATATTCCTCTAGTCATAGAAGCATTATACTGGTTTTTGGGGTTACCAGGTCATATTTGACTCATATTGAATTTGCAGTCTACTAAAACCCTTAGGTCTTTTTCTCTCATGAACATCTAGCTATTTCCTTGACACAGTGTTTGTATATTTGTTTGATCTAAGTGTAAATTTTACATTTACACCTATGAAATGTCATCTTATTGAAGCTTAAATACTTTGTCTAAAGTCGTATTGAGCTGGAATTTGAACCAAGGACTATGGTCTAGTATTCTTTCCACATATCACACTGCTTTTGAATCTCCTAGCCCGTCCTGAGAGCCAGGGCTCCCGGCTGCTGAAGGGGAGAAGGAAGAGCAAGAATGTGCACCAATGACAGGTGTGATGGGAAGGTCACTGGGCTAAGAATGGGCAGACTTGGGTCTGTGACCTGCAGTTGGTCAGTGCCCTTTCCCAAGCCTTAGTCTGTCTAGCTAGAAAATGACAGGGTTGTATTGTACCAAAGTCCCTTCTCTCTCAAACTATATTTTAAGGCTTCTTCCAGCTTTAACATTCTATGTCCAAAGTTACTGTGACTTTTTGATATTCTGTGTTCTAAGGGCCCTCTCAGCTCTGACATTCTATGTTCTAA